TAACAAGGCCGTCTAAGAACTACTTATGGGATTCTGTTACAAGAAATGGCTTTTTGCTTTTCAGCTTTTCTTGCTTTCTTTAGTAGAAAGAGCCCTAGCATGGGAGCCAGTTGCTAACAAGGCCGTCTAAGAACTACTTATGGGATTCTGTTACAAGAAATGGCTTTTTGCTTTTTAGCTTTTCTTGCTTTCTTTAGTAGAAAGAGCCCTAGCATGGGAGCCAGTTGAACTGAGTTCCAGTACTGGCTCTACCGCTAGTGTTACATGACCACAGAGAAGTTACCTGACTTATCCGGGCGTCAGTTTTCCTATCAGTAATAGAGGAGCTGGGTTAAGTGACCTATGTAACTTTTTTTAAAGACTAAAATTTTAAGATTTTATGATCTGTTAGGTAGTAATTCTGTACTATGTGTCACTTGTTAAATATTTGAGCCAAATAATCCTTTAGGAAACAAGACTACATTTTATGTAATATATTCATAAACTATTATTTGCTCTACTAAGTAATTCAGCAATTCATATATTCATTTGTTATTATCTGATAAGAGATACTTCTGTTTGTCATGTTATGAGGCTGCATTATTATGAGTAAATTGTAGGTAACACTTTAGGACCTTATCTCCAATGTACTATTTTCAGTACATGATCATAATTTTATCGTTGTAGCCAAAAAATGTTCAACAGCATGAGAAGGTTCAGAAGGCCAGTACAGAAGGAGTCGCCATCCAGGGTCAACAGGGGACCCGACTTCTTCCTGAACAGCTCATTAAAGAAGCCTTTATTCTCAGTGACCTATTTGATATTGGAGAATTGGCAGCTGTTGAGCTTCTCCTTGCTGGTAGGTTGACATTTAACTGAAACTATGGTAAGGTAGTGCAGAATTATACGGTTATTCACTAGTAGTTTAAAATATTGTTTAGATCCAATAATATTTAAGGATGTAGTTTATTTGACAAAACCGTATTCAAAATATTTCCTTTTGTTTAACTTTGATTAAAGGGAAGCCTTTGATTTAGTAAACAGTTGTTAAAGAAAATTGAACTATTTTAAGGTAGGCTTTTACATGGTGATTTACTAGTAAAGAATAACTGATTGCATCTCAGAAGTTTTATAGCACATAGCATTTATTGTCATATAGTGAGGAGTAAGGTAAGATCATAGCTTTTTTTGGAGTTTCTTTTGAGGGGATGATTCAGATAATGAATAAATAGCTCAAAAATAAGATAATTTCAATAATTATGAGTACTAGGAAGAAAATAAAGCAAGGTGGTGGGATATAGAGATGGGGGCTCGTTGGGGCAACTCTAAATAGGGTACTTGGAGAAGGCCTTTCCAAGATGGGGACGTTGACCTGAGACCAAATGATGAGAAGCTACCAGTCACCCGGACGTGTTGGGGAAGGCTGTTCCAGGCAGAGCAAGCAGCAGGTACTTGAGGTGGGAACAATGACATGTTTAAGGGTAAAAAAGACCACTATAGCTGGAGTATCATGAATGAATGGAAGAGTGGAGGAAGGTGTGGATACAGCAGGAATTAGATCATGTTGGATCTTGCAGGCTATGAAAGCTATTTGGATTTTATTCTAATTGCAATGGAGAGTCATTGGCGGATGCTTTAAGCAGAAACGTTACATAACCCAAAGTAACTTTGAAATTATTTCTTTGGCTACTGTATAAAGAAAAGATTGAAATTTCCATAAGGTAAGCAGTTTATTTTAATTATAACAGAGAAGTCATATGAAGAAAATAATGGGCTGTTTTAGTTGTGCAAAAGTTTAATATATCTAAAGATAGCATGTGCCTGCCACAATCTTCTTTGACCTAAAGTTGAATCAAAAGAAGTATGATACTGAGAATGAAAGAGTTTTTTTGTTCTGTGAGGGGAATGCTAACTGGACATGACTGAGTTTTAATTTTAACTCAGAATTTTCTTTTAACAAACATTTATTCTATACCTACTATGTGCCAGGCACTGTGTTAGACACCAGTGTTATAAAGATGAATAAAACCTCAACTCGTGTAAAGGGGCTCATAGTCTAGTAATTGAGAAAGATATGGAAACAAATAATTTTGACACAGTTAAGTGCATTAAGGCAAGTTTGTGCACGATTTAGCAGTGGCCCAGAGGGAAGGGGATTAAATTGACCTTGGATTATATTGAGAAGTCTTCACAAAGATCGTGAGGTTTAAGGGTAAGTGTTGCAAAATGGGTAGGCAAATATCACGTGGAATGGATGGGTACTCAGGAGGACAAAGAAATTGCCTGTACAGGAAGGTGAAGTAAGATGATGAATTTGGGGAACTGAAGGGAGTCAAGTGGAGGAGTGATTGGGGTAAGGGGAGAAGAATGCTGTAGGAGATGAAACAGACTATAGGCAAGGCACTTTAAAAAAGACTAAGTAGAACTCATTCAAAAGAGAGCAATTAAAAGGGTGAGTGAACTTGAAATATAAAAAGGTTGTTTAATTTTTAGAGAGGACTTTGGGGGAGAAACTTCCAAATATTTGAAAGAGTTCATGTGAGAGAAAGTAAAGTTGGCATTGAATAAGGTTAGATTTAGTAGACTACAGTGAGGCCAAAAGATTCTCACCCAGAACATGGAAATCATACATGAAGGTGAAACTGAGAGTTTTGAAAATGGTGAATTCCATGTGACTGCTAGTGGTCAGGCATAAGTTAGATGGCCCTTGAGTATGTTGTGAAGGAGTAAAAGAATGGGGGGATGTTTGAAGTAGAGGACCCTTATGGCTGCCTAAACCCTGGGGTTCTGTGATTCCTTTAACTGAACATTGCTATAATGATTTTTGTCTCATCCTAAACACACTTGTTTATTTGATGAATTATTCTCTACTTTTTCTAGGAGAGCACCAACAGCCACATTTTCCTGGCCTCACCAGAGGATTAGTAGCTGTTCTTTTATACTGGGATGGAAAGCGGTGCATTGCAAATTCCCTGAAAGCCCTGATACAGTCTAGACGAGGAAAGACATGGACCCTGGAACTCAGGTCTGTTTGCTTCTTGGGATTTCAGCAATTAACTTGAAATTACTTAAAAAATTACAATTTAAGAAATAAAAAAATCCTCTTAGTATGTATAATTTAAGTAAAATATGTAATGTAAGCTGAGTCACATACTCGCTTATTCTGCCAAGAATGACACAAAGTTTAAACCTGATTTATTTTGCTAACAAATAAAAAAAAATTAAATTATTTATAGTTAGAAGTTTATTGAAGCACAGTGATCTAGAAAGGATGAAAAGAGGTTATAATTCATCCTGGCTGTTTTCAGTAATGCAACATTATTGTCAAAACAACTTTTGCTATGTCTGTTGTTACAAGGAAGTATAAGCATTGTTTGATATAGCTGTGTTTATTGATTTCTTTACAGTCCTGAGCTGGTTTCCATGACAACACGCTTTACAGATGAGCTGATGGAGCAAGGATTGACTTATAAAGTCCTTACTCTGGTGTCACAGATTGATGTGAATAATGAGTTTGAGAAACTACAGCGAGAGAGAGGTTTGGGCAGTGAAAAACATCGCAAAGAGGCAAGGGTTCAATGAGATCTCTTCATGGGTTGTCTGTGTCAAACCTCAGAGGCAGGAGAATCATGACATTATTTATTTGTTTGTTTGTTTTAAAGCAACTATTTTATTTATTTTGTTGGCAGCTGGCCAGTATAGGGATCTGAACCCTTGACCTTGGTGTTATAATACCATGCTCTAACCAACTGAGCTAACTGGCCAGGCTGACAGTTAGAATATTGTAATATAGGCATAGGAAAATTAATGGCTAATATTAAAGTTTGTAGTCAACTGTGTCCATGAAATTGACTTGCAGTTGTTTCAGCTTCTGCATAGTCATTTATGTGCCTTTTTCTAAAATGAATTCATGAAATTGGTCATCCCAATTTTTTAAGGAAATTATTGATGAAGAATAAACAGAATTTGTTTAGAATCTCAGAGGTGAAATTTCGGGATCATTTGTGGATTCAGATAGGTTTGGTGTATTTCGTTAGCTATTATAAAAGATACAGACCAGTCCCTGACTTAAAATGGTTTGACTTGACAAGTTTTTGACTTTGACAAGTTTTTGACAATTTTTCGATGGTGTGAAAACAATACACATTCAGTAGAATGTCAATAAATTACGTGAGATATTCCGCACTTTATTACAGAATAGGTTTTGTGTTAGATGATTTTGTCCAACTTTAGGCTAATGTAAGTACTCTGAACACATTTAAGGTGGGCTGGGATTACTATGATTTTCAGTAGATTAGGTGTACCTGTATTAAATGCATTTTCAACTTAAGATATTTTCAGTTTATGATGGTTTTATTGGGATGTACCTCCATTGTAAGTTGAACATCTTAGTTTACATTTTGGAATAAGGCCAGGCTTCGCTGTAATTTATTTATACTAATAATCATGTTTTTATTTCTAGGTTTCTGATCTCATCAAGGAGTGCAGGCAGTCTTTGGCAGAAAGCCTTTTTGCCTGGGCTTGCCAGTCACCTTTAGGCAAAGATGACACCCTCCTCCTTATTGGACATTTGGAAAGAGTGACAGTTGAAGCAAATGGCTCTCTGGATGCAGTGAATCTGGCTCTTCTTATGGCGCTTCTGTACTGCTTTGATATCAGTTTTATAGAACAAAGCACAGAGGAACGAGATGGTATTGAATTTTATACCTTTTAATACATTTGTTTTTAAAAATCAGATTTAAAATTATGGAGATAACATTTAAGAAGGACAATATGTTAACCACTGAAATATAAAATTGTTGTCTATTTTGTTCCTGTGTGTGCATTTCATCCATATTTCAGTATTTAGGTATAAGATCACATTTAAAAGATAATTGCAATCCTGCAATTGTTTCTATATCCTTTTGGGATTTTGAATGGAAAGTGTTGAAGGTTATATAATACATGTTCATGACTTACACATGCCTGACTTACTTAACTGCTTATTATTTTACTTTTCACATTTGCAAACCTTTCATACAAATGTTCTAAGGGATAATATCTATAGTTTCAGTGCTATATCATTTTGACATATTTTCTGTGAAGTAGATAAAATGTTTTTGATCTTTAGATAGTATTGATTTATATTTTAGAATTTACATGTAGAAACAAGTGGCTCTTACTGTTTTTCTAGCTTACTATGGTATACTTATAGAAATCACTGAAAATAGTGAAATCAGGATTTAGGATTATTGTTTATTTCCTCTTTCATTTTTAATGTGTGTACAATCCTTAACAGTAGTGTACTGTTTGGTATGTCAGACATTATTGTTAATTAGTCATATTTCTTTGGTGAGAATGCTCATATTTTCTGTGAAGTAGATAAAATGTTTTTGATCTTTAGATAGTATTGATTTATATTTTAGAATTTACATGTAGAAACAAGTGGCTCTTACTGTTTTTCTAGCTTACTATGGTATACTTATAGAAATCACTGAAAATAGTGAAATCAAGATTTAGGATTATTGTTTATTTCCTCTTTCATTTTTAATGTGTGTACAATCCTTAACAGTAGTGTACTGTTTGGTATGTCAAACATTATTGTTAATTAGTCATATTTCTTTGGTGAGAATGCTCAGATTTTCTGACTTCTAGA